AGGATCACTCCTTGTGCACCACGAGAGTAGGAGCGGAATATGGTACAAAATCTTCCCTGCCCCGACGTATCCCAGAGCTTCAGCTTCACCCGCTGGCCGTCCAGCAGGATGGTGGTCGTCTTGTAGTCGATTCCCCCCAGGTGGCTGTACGGGGACTCGGCCGTGCCGTCCTGCAGGCTCTCCAGGATCTCGCCCTTGCCCACGTCGCTGTCGCCCACCAGCAGGAACTTGAGCAGGAAGTCGTAGGCCTGGTCGGGGCTGCCTGGGGCGCTCATCATGCTGGCCCCGCCCCGCGCCTGGGCCAGACCAGCAGGGTTGCACGCAGAGGCGGTGCCGGGCCTATTTTTCTTGAGAAATTAACATAGAACATAAAAAATGGGATGGCGAAGTTTATCAAATAAAGCGAAATGAGGTGGTGGCTTTGATGGTTTTCTTTTACAAACCCTGGGAAACTGCTTCAGCGATTGTTTTACTTTTTCTTATCCAAAACAGAGTAGAGACACAGCAGTTAATTCATCATTGAAACCTTACATTTCTCTTAACATTTCCATGTGATCGTTATGTAACGATGCCGTTTGGATTACGTCAAAGGACTCTCCTTTAAAGTAAGGACAGGTATGAAATAGGAAGGGGACTAAGATGTGTTGAGTACCGTATGTACCCTACGCTGTGTATGACGCTTAATTTGTTCTTTTACTTGTCAGAACAATTGTCTTTGGTAGCTATGATTGTTTCCATTTTACAAATGAGAAAAGGCAAACTCAGAAATGTTATGTAATTTTTAAAAATCTTGCTGTTAGTGTAGAGATCACAGAAATCACAATCCTGAGCCAGGGCTCTCCTCATATAATGCACCACACATCCTTTTTACTCTGTGGCCATGCAGGGTTTAGGAGTAAGTGTGAACTGTCTGTGCATGTGATCCTTGACAAGCCACGCATGTTTGCATGGGCACTAATACTTTTCTTGCTGCAGGTGGACATCTCCCATAAATATAAGAGCCAAGATCTCAGAAGAGACATCTAGGACATAGATTTTGCTAGAGTGTCTCATAAATAATATTCACCCAAGAAAGATGTGTTGAAATAACGCATGCATCCATCAGTGAAGGGTTTTAGGTTTAACACATGTACAGCTCCTATAACAAAACAGCAAAACTGACAAAATATGTAAATGGTTCACAGGCAAAGAAACGCAAATGGCCAGTAATCACAAGAAAAAGCATTCTAGCTCACTAATACATTAAGGAATGCAAATGAAACCATCTAAATATCCTTTTATCACCTATCATCTGACAAAATTTAAATGTGGAAAAAAAGCAAAAAAGAATTTTTTAAAAATTTGAAAAACGAAAAGGTAAAAAGTGGTTCTGTGTGTGTCTGGGTATGGGGGCGGGATGAGGGACCAAATACATCAAGGAAATGGAAACACACTTATCAGTTATAAATACATTTAAATATTGTAACAACAGGTACAAAGATGGTTAAAGAAATGAGAATGCTCAGACACATATAAGGAAGTTTAAATTATTGAAATCAAGCCCCAAGGGATAGATGTTTACACATGTAATGGAGGAAAAATTGTTCACATGTCCAAAATAGCCAGGTAAGTGGTTATTTGAAATAGCATTGCTGAAATCTTTTTAAAAAGGAAAAAATGAGAAACATTCTAAATACTCATCAATACAGGACAAACATGTGAATAAAGGATAAGAAAAACATTTCTATTTCTCTGTGGGCTTCAGGGCAAATAGAGAAAAAAAAAAAGCCTTTAGATTAATTCCAGAGTTAGCTGACAATAAGGAGATAATAAAGTTGTCTCCCTGATTTACATAAACTTCCTTAAAGACAGCACCCTGATTGGAATAATGATCATAATCATTGGTACCTTGAACAGCCGTTAGGATAAAGGAGATGAAATATAGAGTGTATTTGCTTAAAGTAGTTCAGTGCAGATTACTTTCCTTCTCTTCAGCTCACCCGTCGCAAGGCCAACACCTAAGCTTCTGCTTGAGCCCACTCACCACTTAAGGGATCAGCCAACTCATGCGGTCCTATACCCAGTCTCTTGGCATAAAGTGCAGGATTTCACCTCCTCTGTCTTCCTCATCACCCAGAGGGGTTGTGGAGTGGGGGACCCTTGGGGCCACAATAGCAGGGGAGTGGAATCTGACCATTTCTCAAGCCCTGGAAGCCCATCTTCTAAAAGGGGGTGCTTGGGGTCGTTTAGGGAGGGTGAGGGATGAAACCTCATTCCAATCCTGCCACTTACCTGGGAAGGTGACTTAGGCTGTGAAAGCCTGAGCTTCATTATCTGTGAGATAGGGCTGACTGTATCATCCTTACAGAGCTGTCCCAAGGAGCAAATGAGAAAACCTGTTGAGAGTATATGGCATGAAGTGGGACTTCAATGGCCCTTTAAATGCTGAAACACAGAAGTGGGGGCTGACCGAGCCTCTGGGCTAAGGCATTGTGAAAAGTCATTTTTCACTGTTTCTACTAATGAGAACACAGACATCCATATAAAGAAAGCAAATCTCTCTCTGATATGCCTTGAGTTCAAAGTTTTAGAGACAGAATGTTCTCTACATTCTTGGATGTTTCATAATCTAATAAAAGCTGTTCAACATCATGCCTCTGAGCAGACCCAAATCCACTTCCCATGTTAGAAAGAAAAAAATGATAGATGTAAAACAAGACTATAAAAACATATGCTCCAGGGCATGAAACACCAAGTAGCACTTACAGGGCTGAAGAAAGGTGACAGAGAGGATAGAGGTCACAGGAGCAGGGTCTGGGCAACTGTGTCCATAGGATCCTAGAGAAAGGAGGACTGAAAGGGAATGGGAGGAGGTCTGGGAAGCCTATACAGGGGCAATGGAGGCTAAATGCCCCACTCTCTGTGAGGGACCTCTCTATAGTGTGCACGGGACAACGTATACTGAGGAGGGAAGAGATAAATCAGTGAATGCCATGTAGATTTGGAGTCCACAGCCAATGGACCAGCTTTAATACACATATATTTTTCAAACAGAACTGGCATCATAGTTTGTCACTCTTTGCAAAATGTCCTCATTAAAAAAAAAAAAAAAAAAAAATGGAGATAGCTGTGATGCCTCTTGATGGCCAGAACCCGGATCACAGCTTTGAAAGTCTCAGACAAGGGGCCCAGGGAAAGGGAGAGGGATGTTGGAGGTGAGCTACAAAGATATCAGCCAGAGTTTTCTGGAATTATTCACCTAACGATAGCAATCTCCGTGTATCAGTCATGTTCTGGCATATATGAAACTGAGATTGGTTCCAGCCCCTGTCTGAATTAAAGATAAAACTGCATCTGTGAGTGTGTATTTGAAGTGATACAGCTAGACCTAGACACACACACAAATGTGCACACACACACACATGCAAATACCCTGTCGATTAAATTCTTTTATTTTCTGTTTTCACCATAAAATAGAATACAATGAATGTTTTTTCAAATTAATAAACATATACACAGTACCTTTGACAATCTGTTCAAAAGTATTTTATCATAGCCATTAAAAAAAAAAATCATGTCCCTTGTAGCAACATAGATGCATCTGGAGGCCATTGTCCTAAGTGAATTAACACAGGAACAGAAAACCAAATACCACATGTTCTCACTTATAAGTGGAAACTAAACACTGGGGACTCATGGACATAAAGATAGCAACAACAAGCCCTGGGGACTACTGGAGGAGGGGGGAGAGGTGGGGCAAAGGTTGAAAAACTATTGGGGGCCGGGCGCGGTGGCTCAAGCCTGTAATCCCAGCACTTTGGGAGGCCGAGACGGGCGGATCACGAGGTCAGGAGATCGAGACCATCCTGGCTAACCCGGTGAAACCCCGTCTCTACTAAAAAATACAAAAAAAAAAAAAAAAAAAATTAGCCGGGCGAGGTGGCGGGCCCCTGTAGTCCCAGCTACTCGGGAGGCTGAGGCAGGAGAATGGCGTAAACCCGGGAGGTGGAGCTTGCAGTGAGCTGAGATCCGGCCACTGCACTCCAGCCTGGGCGACAGAGCGAGACTCCGTCTCAAAAAAAAAAAAAAAAAAAAGAAAAACTATTGGGTACTATGCTCACTACCTAGGTGATGAGATCATTCATATCCCAAACCTTAGCATCCCACAATATACCTATGTAACAAACCTGCACATGTACCCCCTGGATCTAAAACAAAAACTGAAATTTAAAAGAGAAGAACATTCTGCCTCCTATAATGAAGAAACATCTCAACTAACTTATTTTTTGGAAAACAGCAACATTTTTTCAAAGTTTGGGTACATTTTTAAAATTCACTATGGCTCTTTCTTTCAGGTCCATTTCATTGACTACAGAAAGGCATCAGAATTTTTTTCTTTTTCTTTTTTTTTTTTTTTTTGGACAGAGTCTCGCTGTGACGTCCAGGCTAGAGTGCAGTGGTGCAATCTCAGCTCACTGCAACCTCCACCTCCCAGGTTCAAGCGATTCTCGTGCCTCAGCGTACTGAGTACCTGGGATTATAGGCATGCGCCACCACACCCGGCTAATTACTGTATTTTTAGTAGAGATGGGGTTTCACCATGTTGGCCAGGCTGGTCTTGAACTCCTGGCCTCATGTGATCCACCCACCTCAGCCTCCCAAAGTGCTGGGATTCCAGGTGTGAGCCACTGCACCCAGCCAGGCATTGGAATTTAACTTTATTGCCTTGAATATTTTAATTAATGTTTTATATTTAATCTTAAAGAAGGGGAAATTTTATATCATTGAAGAGACACTTATGCTTACAAGAACTCCTTTTAATAATAAAAGCAGAATTTATTAGTAAAAAAGGGAAAGAAATAGAACATTATCTTCACTTCAGGAGCTTCCTTTATGACCTTACAAGTCATTATTCCCCCAAAAGTAAACTACACTAACTTCTAACACTAGAGATTTGCCTGTTTATGAACTTTTCATATTTTATATACCTGAAATTATACTTTTTTGTTTCTGCTTGCTTTTGCTTAATATTATCCTTGTGAGATATATCCATGATTTTGCATATGGCAACATTAAAATGAGCATTCTAATTGTGGTAGAGTATTTCATTTTATGAATACTACAAGTTATCTGCTGGATGATATTTGGGTTATGCCCACAGTTTGACTAATATTATAGTACTACTACATACAGATTTGTGGCTGTCTTTAGTGGATATATGTACATGATTCTGTTGAGTATATCAAAGATTGGAATTGCTGGCTCATAGGTATGCATGTAGTTAGCTTTAGTAGATATTGCCAAATGATTTCCCAAAGTGTTTTCACCAATTTACTTTCAGTAATAGTACATAATGGTTCTACTTGCCCCTTATTCTTTTTTTTTCAGTTCATGGGGTTACTGTAGTATCTCATGACAAGTTTAATTTGCATTGTCCTAAAAACTAAAAACGTTAAGCACCTTTTTATACATGCAGTTGTTGTATGGGATTCTTATATTGTAAAGTGCCTGTTTACTTCTTTTGCTCATTTTCTACTTTTCTCCTTGTTTCCAAAAAATCAAATCACTGTATATATAAAATCTTTCACTCTGTATTTCAATATTTTCTTTCTTAAGAGTATGTTTTGAAAGACAGAGTCTTTAATTATAATGTAGCTCAATTTATTATTTTTTTTCCTTTGGGATTAACAGTTTTTTTGTCTAGTGATTAAGAAATATTTGCCACCCCAACTACATAAAAATATTTTCCTACATTGTTATAGGTTATTCTTTTACTTTTGCATTTAGACTGACAATCTACCTGAAATCAATTTTTGTACGTATCTAATTCAGCTAGCATACTTAAAATATCATCCTTCTCCTTTCACTGCACTGTCACCTGTGTCATAAGTGAAAATGACCACATATGGATTGGGTCTATTTCTTGACTCTATTAAGTCCATTGGCCTGTTTTTTTCTATCCCTACACCAATTCTACATTCTCTTAATTACAATAGCTTGTTTTTTTAGATCTCAATTTTTAATTTTTTTTCTTTGAATAGCTTCAGGAGTACAAGTGGTTTTGGTTATAAGGATCAATTGTACAGTGGTGAAGTCTGGACTTTCAGTGTACCCTTCACCCAAAATAGTTTACATTGTACCCAGTAGGTGATTTTTCATCCCTTACTCCCTTCCCTCCCTTACTCCCACCTCCACCTTCTGAGTTTCCAGTGTTCATTATTAATTATAATAGCTTTATATTTTAATTTTAGTTTGTAATAAAATGTTTGAACTTTGTCCTTTTCAACAAAGGTTTTAAAAAACTGACATGCTTTTTAAATATATATATATATGTTTTAAGTCCTTGGGGCATAAAATTTAAATCCAAACAGATCTAATTAAAACATAATCCAACATATTTTACGACAAATGAATAGATCATTGCCAATTCTTTACTTGCCAGTTAAATTTTTAAAAACTGTGCATTCAAATATTCACTAAAATACTTTTATTCTCAAATATGAAACTTCAAAAACTGTATAAGAGTATATTCACAAATCCAATTTAAACTGCACCTCTCACTGGCCCAACTCCCACCCCTTGACCCCAAGGGGTCTGTTGTCCCTAGAATAGTGCACATTCTCCAGAAGTGCCCCTGTAGGTGAGGTGCACATCAACACATTCACCTTCACACACAGTCTTCTCCAAAAGTACAATCATAGTCCTCATTTTTTGCATCTTGTCATTATAAATTCTCAGGATTTAAAATCATTTGCGTCTTGTTAGTTCTTGTGGTTTTTGTATTTATTTTATTTCTTCTAAAAAAATGGGATACATGTGCAGAACGTGCAGGTTTGTTACATAGATATACGTGTGCCACGGTGGTTTGCTGCACCTATTGACCCGTCCTCTAAGTTCCCTCCCCTTACCCCCACTCCCAACAAGCCCTGGTGTGTGATGTTCCTCTCTCTGTCCATGTGTTCTCAGTGTTCAGCTCCCACTTATGAGTGAGAACATGTGGTGTTTGGTTTCCTGTTCCTGTGTTAGTTTGCTGAGGATGATGGCTTCCAGCTTCATCCATGTTCCTGCAAAGGACATAATCTCATTCCTTTTTATGGCTGCAGGTTTTTGTATTTTTAAATGTTTATTATTCATGTATATACTTATTTAAATTTTCTGTTGAAATCATTGCCAATTGTTTTGTTACCAAGTATGTTTCACAAATCATGGCTACTAACCCAGTATCTGAGATGTAGTTTACAAATGTTTTCTCCTTTGTTTTAATACAGTCTTTAGTGTTTT